CACGTTGTGAAAGGGTGGAACACACTACACAGGATTCACTCCAGCTCTTTTGACCCTAGCAAGCCACCTAAGAGCTGAGGCCTGAGCACACCTTCCCTGCCTCTCTCTCTCCAGTCCCTTCTGCTCCCCTCCAGCCAGATCCCCAGACATGGGTTCCAAACATTGCCACCTGACCTCCCAGAGGCCCTTCCAGACCTCCCTGTCCTTTGTATTAAGGTCTCCCCCCAAAAGTTTATGGTTCCAGAAATTTACTTCGAGAACTTTAAAAAATCATTTCTCTGTGAACCAGAGGGGCAGGAAAGCAAGGCAGCATCTCATGGAGGTGGCAAGCACAGCTACTTTGGAGCCCAGGCTCTCCTCTTACCAGTCATATAACCTTGGACAAGTTACAGAATTTATCCCACCTCCGAAAGGGAGCTGTTATGAGCGACAAGGGTAGGACAGCTAGAAAATGCCTCACCCCCACGCCAGGCGCAGAGTAGAGCTGCTCAGCCACGGTGGTGGGGAGGGGGGCCTCCGGGGACTACTGCCACTGTTGGGGTCCGGGTAGGGTGGATGGGGAGGTTCCCCACTGGGGGCGTCATGCTTCCACGCCTTAGAAGCCGGTCACATGAGTGGACTTACAGTCACTCTTTGTGGGGGAACTTTCTAAGGCCAAAGGGAAAGCTGCATCCCTAAAAAGATTTTTATATTAATTAAACCTTGTCATCAAGGTTTTCCAACTGTTCCTGGTTTTATTACAAAGTCCAGACCTGTCTTTCCTCGGCTGAGGTTCCTCAACTCTCCACCTTCAGCACGCCATGTAGGGGTTCAGGCTACTTGCCCTTCCAACAGCAAGGCCCGGACATTAGAAGCCCAAAGGGGATAAAGTACACAGAACGGTCCCGGGATACCATCTGGGAATGGAAGGTTCTCAGAAGCCTGCCCCCTCTATTTATAAGATAATGCAGAACACGCAATGAAAGGATCCCTGATCTGGTCACAGAGAAAGCTAGCCAGAGACAGGTTGCTGGCAGGCGCCTCCCACACCCCAAGTGGTAACTCCCTGCGTCCGTGGGACCTCTGCGTGCCTTGCATCCCCACTGCCCAGAGGTCCTGGGTGATCTTCCCTCCTCCCTGGAGACAGGCAGTGGCACGGCTCCCTGGGAAAGGTGGACAAAGGACATCGGTGCTGAAGTCAGGAGAGGTAGGTGTGCATCCTGCGGCCCTGTCCCACACCTTTCCAGCTCTCCGAGTGTGGACAGGTTAGCTCAGCAGCTGACCTCCACACCAAGAAGGTGGAGGAGGAAGCTGGCCTCCCAGGGAGGCTGGGAGGGTTAAAGGCAATTGCCCACCAGAAGGTGGGGCACACAGGAACAGCCTTCCCTTGACCCTGAAGAATATGAAGTCAGGGTTTGGATTCTGTAATGGGACTTGATAAGAGAAGTGATGATGGTTCTTCTATTAATTGTCTTCAGAAACTCATCGAGCCTTGATTCCTAGAATTAAAAGGGGCAAAGTGGCTTTGTCTTTGGAGACCATCTTTTTCACTCTCATTTTTCAGAAGGCCCAAGTTCACACCAAGAAAACAGACTAGGGGGAGGCTAAGAGGCAAACACGAGCTCTGATCCTGGACATCACAAAGGAAAGGGAGGAAGAAACCAAATGTTCAGAGCTAATGTTAATTAACTCATTTCTCTTTTGCCCTTTCTTTATTGTTCCTAGAAGCAATTATGTGTCTCCTACCCTCTCTCCCACCTCCAACCCCTGCATAAAACTGTCACAGATTAAATCAGATTGCTCAGCCATTTCATTAGGGAGACTCTGGCTCTCGGTCTCTGGGGGCATTTTTACTCGCTCAAATGAAAGCCTCTCGCAGAGAAGTTAACTCCTTCCTGGAGAACACAGGAAGCCAGCAAGCAGACCACTCAGGGCTGTTGAGACCTTTCTCCGAACAGCACGGGGTATGGTGGCCTGGTGTGTGCATGCTGACCCGAGACCGAAGAGACCAGAGTGCGAGAAACAGGGCAGAGGGAGTGTGTCAGACTTCTGGGTACCTACCCGACCTTTCGCATGTCACCACCCTGGGTATGTTTCTTTTCTTGGAAGGACCTCAGTTTCCCCGACTGAGAAATGCAACCCTCAAGCCTTTCTTTTTCCCGTCCCCGATTCCACAAATCCCCCCAAATCCCACACGTGTGCTTGAGAAGATTTACAAAGTTGTCGGGAGGGAGTGAAGTCGGAATTCACTTTGATAGATAACAAAGTCTTTTCTTCCCCGTGACTTTACTGGAGCTGTGGTTGAAGGAAGGAGAGGGTGGGACGTGAAGGCTGCAGGCTGTTGCCCAGAAGGGGCTCTGAGTGAGGAGATGGAGAGGAGGGCGGGGCCGGGGGATGTCTGCGGGCTGGGAGCTGACACCCAGCGTGGGGCCGGGGTCAAGGCACAGTCCCTGGTGGGTTTTTTTTTTGTTTTTTGTTTTTTTTTAAGATTTTATTTATTTGACAGAGAGAGAGAGAGCGAGAGCAGGAACACAAGCAGGGGGAGTGGGAGAGGGAGAAGCAGGCTTCCCGCAGAGCAGGGAGCCCGATGCGGGGCTTGATCCCAGGACCCCGGGATCATGACCTGAGCCGAAGGCAGACGCGAAACGACTGAGCCACCCAGGAGCCCCAGTCCCTGGTGTTTAACTGATGCTAGGTGCAAGTGTTAGGCCACAGGGAAGAGAACGGCATTGCTGGGGTGCACTGTGGTGTGGGGACACGTGGGAGAGGAAGAGGGAGGAGGCCAGCATGAGTGTTTCAGAGTTATTCCCAGACAGAAGGCCTGCAAGACCTCTCCCCAGCCTGTCCTGAGAGCTTTCTCCAGGCCTTAGTAATGACAGTCAGGGAAGCTGACGGTCTGGGGTGACTGGTGGGCTCCAGGAAAGCACAGGGAGCAGGACAGAGTGGCAGAGGCCTCTGCGGGACATCTCTGCATAGCACACAGGGGCACAGCTCCGTGGGGGAGAGCCAGCTCCTCAGAGTCAGAGGCGACTTTCTTTGCTCCTTCCCCGGACATGCGTGAGGTGGGGCCTCAGAGGTGGCCCGAGTTCCCCGTCGGGTGGGTGGGACCACAGGGGCCGGCCTTTCTCCAGGTGCTGGCTCAGGGCCCAGGACCCAGCTGCAAGGAGTGAGGCTCCCAGCCACTCCACTGGCGTGGTCTTTTGAGCCCTTTTTAGGAGCACGTTTTCTTGAGTGCCTACACCAGCTGAGGAGCTGGGGACAAGGACAACTTGTCTCTGCCTCCTAGAGCAAGGGTGATGCTGTTAAAACCTGCCGGGCTTGCAGGAAGGGTCCTGCCAAGGTCAAAGGTGTCCCTTTGGCTGTATGGGGTCAGGGGAGGGGTGGTAAGAAGGGGAAAGGAGGGACTTATCACCAGAGGGGCCACACCCTAGAACTATCTCTGTTGTTTTCAGTCAACAGGATCAGAAGACGGGGTTCTTAACTTTGAATGTGTGATCCATTCCGACCACACTTTCTTGGTGCATTTTAGACTTAGAGTTCTTGCAAGTTTGTAATTATCTTAGGAAGAGCACAATTATAAATGAACTATTTGAGTTACGACTGATGAACTATTCATGTAAATATTTAAAATATGTTAACTTTCAAGCAAAACTAATTTTGGTTTTTCTTGTTTCCTAGTACACTAAATATCCTACCTGCCCACCTCCTCCTCAGTAAATTAGGAAGTGATACAGACTTCCCTCAATCTCTGGAAGGCCTTGCCGAGAGCACAGATCTTTCCAGAATCTGAATATGCGGTGCATAGAGGAAGGATTTAAGACCAGGGTGGGGGTTGGGTTAACAGACTTCTGGACCCTTTCAAGCTACTCAGTTCTCTACCCAAAACTGCAGACAAAGAAAGGGGTGGAGTATAAGTTTGCAGATGGGCAGCCCCAGCTGGGGGACCCTGCCCTTCCATTCTCCCCCTTACCCCCAAGAGACAAGAAGGGCTCTGACTGTGGGTGGGGCCTTCTTTGTGTTTCAAGGAGCCCAAGAAGACACATTTTCTGTGATCGCCCTAAGCTCCCTTCTAAAACGCTCGTACAGGGACCCAGAGGTTGAACGTTTATCATCATGGACAATCTGAAAATACACTATAAATTGCAAACATCAACATGAATTTTAGGCTAGGCCACGCTCTCAGTGCTTCTTGTGCTTTATCTGTTAATTTTGCAGCCATGACTGAACGTTGTTTCATGATCATTCCCTGCAACAGGCAGGCAGAGGTCCATAACTTGCCCAGAGGTCACCACGCTCGGACGCGCAGAGCCAGAATGTGAACCAGCATGGAACGAACTGGAGGCTCAGCCTCAGCAGTTCAAATCCGTGCTGTGTGACCTTACCCTCCTGGGGACTCGGTTGCCTTCACTGAGAAATGGGGTGAGGGATGCAGGGACTTGACAATTATCAGAAGTTGCAGCGGATGTGCGAACGGGGCACGCCGCAAGCATGCAGCGTTGGTATGGAGTTTCCCTTCTTCACCGTGGGTTAGGGCATGTGCAGAAACGAACGCGGGAGAAAGTTGGCGCAGAAATTACCCTTTGCTCAGCCCCCCTCTGGTTGTCAAGCTGGTACTTCCTTGGGTGTCAGGTGCTCCCGATTCCCCATGCATGGGGGTTGGGAGGGGGTCCTGCGTGGGGGAGGGAGGGGCTGCGGTCCCCCTGAAATGCCCCTCACCTTGCACACAAGCACCGCTGGTTGCTTTCCGCCAGCCAGGGCTCGGAGTAATGGAAACTTCTGCGACCAACAGCATTCGCTCACAACTTCCCTCTCTGTGGTTTTCTCTGTCATTCCCTTGATAAAAGACCCAGGGCTGAGCAAATGTAACCAACATTCACGGATCTCAATTTCACATGAAAACACCCGCCCCTCAAGAAGTGAGCTGCTGAAGAGTGATGCACCATGTACTCTAAACTGGGTCATTCCTCACCCAGAGGGCTCGGTGCGTGGCTGACTTGCTGTGTGTATCCCCTGTGCCGTAGGCTTCGAGCATCTTCGACAGCCCAGGGAGACAGAGCGATGGGAAACAGTATGCGATCCACCCCAGCACCTCCCGAGAGGCCTGTGCCCAGCCCAGATGGTAAGTCTGGCTTCTTGGCTCTTGGGTGTGATGCTTAACTCCATCGTTCGAGAGCCGGGGCCAAGACCGAGCGACCGGGGCTGCTGACAATTGGTGAAACAGGGCACGGGGTGCAGAGACACTCATGGTAGCTGCCTCTCTCACCTTGCTCGTGGTTAGCATTTCAAAAGATTGAGCAGTGGTGCCCTGAGTGGCTGCTGGGCGGCTGGCTTGTGTGGTGGACCTTTGAGAACAGCTCTTTCCACCTTTATTTGACAGGTGGGGAAACTGAGGCTCACCAAGGAAATGTGATCCGCTATGGGAAGAGTCAGATTTCCAACCCAGGCCAGTCTGATTCTGAAAGCTAGGCTCTTGCTTACCACACCCTGCCAGCCAGCCGTGCTATAATATTATCGTGAGTTTAATATTATCACAGCTCTGCAGAAGCTTTTGCTGTGCAACCTGATGAAGCTAGACACTAGCTCGAGGAAATCTTCCTGAAAAGAAAGGAATCCTGGCTCCCCTTGGTAGGATCACAGGGCTAGCCATCCTAGGGGGAGGGCACAAGGCCATGGCTTATGCAGTGATGACAGAAGTCAGCTTCCCGTGGCGCTGCCGGGTAGAGGCGGGTTCCTGAAGCCGAGGAGCCCTTCAGAGACTGGCCAGAGAGCCCTAAGAGGACATCAGCAAGCAGGGGGCAAAGGCTGAGAGCAAAGCTCCTTTTGCTCTGGGTGGGGTGGTGGCAGCGCACTGTGTGGGTCCTCGAGGGGCTTGGGAAGGAGATGGTCAGGAGGTCCCTCAGGGTCCCCAGGGTGAGTGCCCTTGGGACATTTCCACCTCCTATCTGACGTCACAGTGCTGGTGCTCGGTCTCCCTCTGCTAATGCCCCGCGTCCCCTGCGCCCCCTGCAGCCCCACACCCTGCAAAGTCCCCACGCACAGATGGTCACCATCCTGCCTGCTGAGAGTCCGCCGTGCCAGGCGCCTGTCTCTACTGCTCATTCCACTACTTCTGTGGCCCCTTCAGCAAGGAGGCGCCTTCTCATTGCTTCCAGAATGGAGACACCAAGTTATACATGGTCTCGGGATCCCTCGGATGCTCCCAAGGGAGCAAGCAGAGACCCTGCCGCCCATTTCGGTCCCGAGGCAGGGCAACTCTAGTGGCTGTCTGTTCCAACGCCCCTCCTTAAGCCTAAGTGGGGAAAGATGAAAAGAACATTCTCCCGGACAAAGGGGATGGAGCCATGTGATGAGGTGGGGCAGCCGGCGCGCCCCGGGGCCCCTCTGCCTCCCATGCAAAGCTCAGAACCAGGTGTCGGCCGGGCCTCCTGCTGCCTGGGCCCTTCTCCCACCTTCTCCAAACAACTGCAAATCACAGCTTCCCCTTCTGGTCATGGCTGCTTGAGGAAAACACCCAGGGCCCACCCCGGCTCGGGAGACACCAACCCACCCACCCACCCAGCGAGGCCATTTTGTACTGCAGCTTCTCGCCCCGGGGCAGGGGGGGGCGGCATGCTTGAGCAAACCCCATGAAAACACGGGTCTCCAAGGGCTCGCTCATTTGCCTTTAGTTTTTGAATGCAAATTCTCATGAAATAAGTTTCTCTTTTTCCACTGTGTGGGTGGTGGGAGGTCACCTCGAAAAGGGAGGTAGAGGGGTCTCCCCAGCCCTCCACCCCCTGGTGAAGAGAATTCCCCAGGTCGGACCCAGTGCGTGATCCAGGCAACCACATCAAGCACGAGTAGCTGCCTTTTCCATCCCCCACCCCTGAAAAGTTTCCCCTGTGATCAGTTGTAATTTGATTTCCCTCCCCCCCCCTTTTTTTTCTGCCATCCACTCGAAGAAGGGAGAGGAAAGTGGTTGCAGTGGGTGCTGCATTAATTAGTCTCTAGCCGATGGATGCAGAGGGTTCGGGTTTTCATGGGACATGCACCCACTCAGCTAACACTCATGCTTACTCATTTGGTCAGGCTCCAGCTCCCAGGAAGTAGTGCGGGGAGCTGAGGGCTTTAGGCCAGCATACAAGTGGAGCTTCCTCTGACATTAGCCTGAGTGGTGGAGAATGAAAGTCACCAAAAGCCCCAGGCCCTACACAGGGATCAGCAGGAGGCTTCACCTGTAAACTGCTAGACAGACACGTTTTCTGAGCTTTTAGGAGTGTATTGTTCCCCCCAGCGAGGACGGTGAATGCCTTGGGATGTGGCTTTGTCCATCTGTTTGCTCCTAAACGAAGCTTTCTAGAACATCCCTGATTACTCCAGTTCCTGGAGACTACTATCACAAAACCCACAGAGGTAGGAGGACTTGAAGAAACGGGGCAGGCCTCAGAGACAAATGACCTTGCTGAGCTACTAGTGTTGTCCCTGGAAGCCATTTGACCTGGGGTAAGTCAGTTAGCCTCCCAGAAGAAGGGCAGGACTCAGCAGTCAAATGGAGACCAGGACAATCCCCTTCTCAGAGCATTGACAGCACAAAGTAGTCGCCTGATAAATGTGGAGGAATCACTTTTCTAAACTCCACTGGGGGTAACCTGATTGCACGAGGCTCTGTCTAAATGCCTCCCCCCGAAAAAAGCAGGTTTAAAGCAGTCGAATTGGGGGTTCCATGACTTGCTTGCCAATCAACCCACATAACTCATTTTCTCTACAATCCTATCCTTATTTCAGACTCTTGCTCTGCACCAGACACGGACAGTACAGAATTGAGTAAGACCTAGGGAACTCCCATGTAGCTGGGCAATGACATATTTCTACCTTAAATAGAATCTGAAGGTACAATTTTCCCCCACCTTACCTTCTTTTTTTTTTATTTTCCCCTCTTCACCTTTTATCAGCCTGATCTCACTGACAGAGGTCATAATGCAAACCCAGACACTGTTCAGACCCCCTTCTGTGCAAGCATGGAAATTGCGCTAAGCGGGGCGTTTACCTAGCACCTAGGGTGCTGCCCCATGGAAAGAAGACATGGGAGGGGCTCTGAGGAGGAAGAAGAGGGCAGGGAGGTCTCTGACCCAGCCTGGCACTTCCCCAGTGAATGATTCTCAGACCACCTGCATCAGAGCCTCCAGAAAGTTGTCAAAAATGCAGATCACTGGGCCCCGCCCCAGATCTGCTCATCAGAATTCGATGATGGTGGAGGGGAACAACCCATGGAATTTCCTACAAGCCCCCTGGTTTGAGCCAAAAGTTTTCATCCCCAGACCCAACTTTTAGTCCTGCCCCTACTCTTAACACCCGATGAGCAATGAGAGAAGTCAGTTTGTCTCCGTAGGGTCCCTCTGGTCTCACTTGTAAAATGGGATGATGGGAGTGACTCTATAGCATGCCAGACATGATTCCTAGTGCTCTACACACATCATTCTCCCTCCTCCCAGCCTCCACAGGAAGTGATCTCTATCACAGACAGTCCAGTGCCCTGGAAGGGAACCTGCAACAGATCTTTGACTAGACCCACCTTTTCCACCTGGGTCTTACTCATCCCACTTCTGGCCCCTGAGATGGTTCTAGGTGGAACGTGATCATTCAACTTTTTACACTGAATGTACAACTTCTGCCCTTGTAATGGAGACCATACAAAATACACCTCGTCCATCAGACCATGATTTCACGGTGCCTAGAATGGGGCTAAAGATTTGGGTTTTTTTTAAAGCAAATTAACATAAAGAAAGACACTGTTAAGTAAATAGTAGTGCTGGTGGTATTCAGTAGCATCAGGAGAGCAGGTGGCCAGGGACAGAGTCTGCCCCCTCTGCCGCTAGGTGACTGGGTTTTTAGACTAGGCACTCGGCCTGCTACCATGTGCTCCTGAGCTAGTCTCTCCACCTCGCTGTGCCCTCTGAGAGCCTCAAGATCTACTCGGTCCAATCTGCTTCATCTCAGAGATGGGACAGCCAAGGCGTGGGACAGAACAGAACTTGTGGACCACTGTGCCTCACTTTTCAACCCACAATATAGGACCCACGGGTACAACCTATGGTTTGTGGTGATCAACAGAACTTGGTAGATCTCCTATCAGGCGAGTCTGCCCAGCCCCGTCTGATTGGTTAGTTGTGTGTGTATGTTTCCTGTAAAAGACATTGAAAGCAAGGCCTGCTTGGACCCTCTGGAGGCCATGGATTTGGGCACGATTCAAGGGCGTGCAAAACCAGAAGCTGAAAGCACTGGGTTGTTTAGCTCCTTGCCAACCAACTGCACTCGGCTGCTGGTGCCAACTTGGAAACCTCATTTGGAGTCAGCGTTTGTCCCAACCTGTCAAGGAGCAAGCGCTAATTGGGGAGAGCCTGGTAATTACATGCCAAGAAGAGCTCTGTGGCCTAGGGACATGGCCAGGAGCTTCAACAACCCTCATGCTCCTGCTGCAGGTTACTAAACACTCTCCCAGCCTTTGTTTCTTCATTTTTTAAATAAGAATATATATTCTCTAGGGTTGTATGGAGCATTGGGAGTCCTGAAAGGCTGGCTTTGCTAGAGTTATAAATGGAAACTACTGAAAGGTTTTTAGCATTTAAAAAGAAATGGTAATGATTCCAAGAGGCATAATAATGCTAAAAAAGGCCTGTCCTCCTTTGACCAAGTAATATCTGTGGCTAGTGAGTTCTGCCTGGGTCTCCTTCCTTTTTTGGATTCATTTCCCATTTTACACTTTTGTACAGTTCGTTCACTATGACACACTTTCAAGTTGAGCCATCAGTAAATATCTGGTCTTCCGGATTTCATCTTCTGTTCTCACCAAATGGATTTTGTTTTTAGAAGAACAGAATATTTTCAAATTTGCACATCCAGAGGCTTTTCAAAATTTAGGACACCATTGGCTGAAATTGGTCTTGGACTATGTGATGCTAATCCCACCCATCCCATAAACATGATATTAGCATGCCCCCCCCCGCCCCCCCCCGTCCAACTGCTCCATGGAGGTGGGTTCTGTACATACATTGCGTCATGAGTCCAACCCCAGTCGTACAGGGTAGATTTTGGTATTTCCCATTTTTATACATGAAGAAATCAAGCTCAGATTGGTTAAAAATAAATCTCTCCCCAAATCACAGAACAATTAAGTGATGGAAGTAGAATTTAAGCCAGGTCTGATTGATTCCAAAGCCCATTCTCTCTTCTGAAAAATCCTCTCTGGGTTTCTTGCCTATGCGAGACACACTTCTTCATTAGCTTTGTTTCCTTATCTTAAATCTGCGATAATCCGGTCCGTGCCTCTCCCCGAGGCCAATCACTTATCTGATTTAATTCCAGGGCTCAGCTCTCCCCAAAACCTGGGGCTGCAGGGGGACCTGACAGTGTGTTCAAGCTCTAGGAGTGAACTTGATTTTCCTACTTCGCGTGTACGTTACCACAGGGCCTGGTAAGACAGGTGGCAGGAATGCACATGAAATCCCTAGCGAAGGACCACACCAAGGCCATCGCTTTTAAGCAAAAGCCCCACCTCGAGGCTTTCTCAGCGACATGGAAGTGTTATTGCTGTAAAAACATCACTATTACGGAAATTCCACAGGAAGCTCCACGCTGGTATTGTGAAATTGAAATTCTCCAGCCCCTGAAGCCTCTTTCCGCTATTGAGACAATTGTTTTGATAATGGGATCGTGGTTTTTGTTTCTGTTTTTAAAGTAAGGAGAGGCGGTTGTTCTGTTCACAGTCTTCACGGTGAAGCAGACATCAAAGCCCCAACCCCCGCAGAGACACAGGGTCTATTTCAAGGTTCTGTGATGGTCGCAGATAGCAAAAGCTGTGCCTCTCCTTCCAGCCTTGTTTTTCACATTTTTCACAAGGGGCTGGTTCTGCGATGACCGCCCACCATGCTGCTGCGACAAATCAGGTCTCCTTCCCTTGGGCTGCGTTAGCACAGGGATGTCTCCTCATCTTCATTCCTTAAACCTGCCCTGAGCATCGGAGATGGGACAGCAGGATCTGGGCGGGGGCTGGAGGACAGCTCCTTGTGGAGTTCACTCATTCCCCGGGAGTCCTGCAAACTCCAGAATACAACCTGGGTAATTGCTTCAGAGGAAAAGCCTAGAGCTTTACCCCGAGGTGGGGGTAAAGCAGGAGCACCAGACAAACCTCCCGGGGGTGGGGGTGGGGGGTGGGAGGGATGAGAAATGGGAGAGCAGGTGCTTTCCTGGCAGAGGGAGCAGCCTGTCCGTGGGCTCTGGGGACCCGGCATCCCGGCAAATTGAGAAGAACACGACGGCTCGTCACACTGCTCCTGAGCAGTGGAGACCATGTTAATAAGCAGCTCCTTCATATTTGGGACCATTAACCCAGATTTCCATCATGAAGGTGTCTCCCAACCCCTCTTTTTCCAGACTAAAGCAGGCCGCGGAGGGGAAGGATGCAGCCACACTCAGAGTGCAAAGTCAGCCTCAAAATCAGCCCGCTTTACTGGGAAGCTGACCAGATCCTCTGTGTGGGGCCCCCCTTCATGGGCACCTCAGCTTCCTAGAGACTGTACCCAGTTTTGTATTTGCAATTTCCTTTCTGTTCTTTTTCTTAAGGAGGATTTCCAAATTTGCATGAGCTTCATGCCTCACAAAATCTGGATCCACCCTTTATCAGAACTCGGGACTTCTGGTTTCAAGTCCAACTGCAGTGCTGCCTCCTGCTATTGAGCTGGGGTCTGGGCTACACAAGGAAAGAATCCTTTTGTTTTTTTTCTTAAATCTAGCAAAGCAGAATGGGAGGGAGGGGTCTCTGTAGGCTCCGGGGAGGCTCTGCTGGGTCAGCCATTCCCTGGCCAGGCCCTGCTCCTTCTCATGAGACCTGACTCCTTTCAGCGACTTCAGCCAGCATGAATCACTTTGGTTTCCATTTCACGCCTAAAAATGCTTGCTTTCATCTGCTTTATTGTCTGTGGCTCAGCTTCCCCAAATGAACAATATATCTGAATGTGTTGTTGCATGGTGGTAAGTGGCTTCTGATTCACTCTCACACATTCTACTCCTGAAGCTATCTTTGGGGTTACTCTGTCCGGGCACTGGTGAGCCACAGAGTCCCGGACATAGGAGTTGTAAGGGGTGAGGGTCTAGAAGTCCCAGCATGGGGGTGTCTGGATCCCAGAAAGTGGCCAGTTTGGGCCACCAAGACTGCCATGCCCCAGTGCTGGGATTTCTTCCGGTTTTCCTGGGGTGAAGGGGGCGGGTGATGACCCTTCCCATGATTATTTATGGATTCTCTAGAACGTGAGCTCTATTTGAGCAGGCAGACTTGGCTTGCTTTGTTCGCCATGTTTGGCCCAGATACTCAATGAACAATTGCTGAGGGAATGAATACATGGTAAGTTACCCAGAATTTTGAGTTCAGATGCCCAGCCAGCAGATGGAGGGATAAACCCAACATCAGAGCAAACAGGTACTGAATCAGCCCATTCTTAAGGTATATTATTTCCCAAAAACTATACCTCGCATCTAATGCACCCAAATTCCAGCAAACCGCTAAGGCTGTATAAAACAGGATTTTGCTTAGTGCCAAAAAGTGAATTCACATATTATCACTCCTTCTCTAGCTGACAGTAAGCTATACTCACATGAACCAGACAGAATGCTTTCCTTTTCAAAATGTCACTAGAATTACTTTCAATGTACATATGATGAAAAGCAGTTACTTTTTCTCCCACCCCTACCCCAAAGTCCCTATTAAATAGACCCCCAGCATGGTGCCTTATATCCTACAAAGAAGAAGTGCTTTGGGGAGTTTCAGAGTTAGAGTCTTTGAGTCCCGGCGGGTCCTCAGAACTCATGTAGCCCAATCACAACACACCCTATCCCAGTATGTGGACTATGGGGACCCACAGGCCCCAGGGAGGGTAATAATAAAAGAAGCTTTTATGGCCCCTTATCATTCATGGGGCACTGCTGCATAATTTCATCTCATCTCCAGATGGACCCTGCAGTGAGGTAGCATTAGCCCCACTTTAAAGATGGGGAAATTGAGGCTAGTAGGCATTTGGGGACTTGGGCAAGATGACAGGGATCAGTAGACACAGCGGCAAACCTTCAAGCCAGATCTTGTGACTCCAGCTCAAGGACCTCAGGATCCCCACTTCTCAGAGGAGAATGTCAGGGCCAAGGTGGGCTTGCAAATGGAAGGGGATCACCGACCTTGGGTTCCTTACAGCTCCCTGTGCCACCATCCCTGAGGAGAGGAGAGCCTGCTATAAACTGCTATTCCAAAGCAAGTCATGTATCTCCAGCTGAGAAGTCCACAGGAGGGACTCGTCTTGGCCCTCCCCTCCCCGGGGTGGGTCGCCTTTTGGTTCCCTGTGAAGGAGAACACACCTTGGCTTTGTTTCCCCAGGACTGGATAGCGACTTCCTGGCTGTGCTGAGTGATTATCCATCTCCTGACATCAGCCCCCCCATATTCCGCCGAGGGGAGAAACTACGAGTGATTTCTGAGTGAGTTGGCTTTCCAAATGTTTCACAATCCCTTAAAAAGGGTGAACTCAATTTGAATGGGAATCGTTAGATTTTAGCTATAGTTGTCCAACTCCACTCGGGCCCTGGTCCTATTCTGAGTTGAGAAATTTGGCCCATACAGCAGATCCTTGGGCTTAATTTTTAATACTGCCAGTGCTCTAAAGTCTTCAGTGGTTCCCCATTGCCTGGTGGGTTAAATTTAAATTCCTTAACTTGGCTTTTGAGACCCTGTACGGTCCAACTTCTGCTTCCCATGTTGGTCTCATCTTCCACCCATGCAGTGTTGATATTTTCTACCCTGCCTGGGGGCTCAGGCAGGAGGACCCAGGGGTCTAAGAAAGCTTCTGATGATAAACAAAGTATTGCCTTCCATCCTGCTGTCTCTCCATGACTCAAAATGGGCTATAGAACAGATAGGGGGCTCTAAGCTCCTTTTACTTAGATTCTCATTGATACAGACAAACTACCTTGGTTATATTGCAGGGTGTAATTCCGCATAGTAAACATTTGGTTTTAAAAAGCCCCCAATTCTGACACACTCACTGTGGATCCCCAAAAGGTGGCTAGTGTCAGCTATGTGGGAAGGGTTCTTGGTTAGCTTGGAATGAGGGAGACACTTAAAAAGTATAGTTTCATATGGAGAACTTTGGCCAATGGTAGGTTTGAAAAAGAAACGGCCTTACATGGCCCGGGTTAAATCTGATTACTCTGTTCATGAGTTCGCTTTGCCACTCACCCGTCCACCCTCTCCTGTCTGTTCTTGTTCTTCCAGCGAAGGGGGCTGGTGGAAAGCCATTTCCCTTAGCACTGGTCGAGAGAGTTATATTCCTGGAATATGTGTGGCCAGAGTTTACCACGGGTGAGTACATTTCTGAAATGGCATCTACGAAGCATGATATCGATGTTAGTGATGGCTGAGCACGCACAGAGAGATTCCGGTGTGGCACCGTGGAAAGGAAGTTTCCAGACAGTCACTCTTACTCTCGCTCAGTCCATAAGGAAGGGTGTCATCTTGGCGAACCCCTTGCCCTATCTGAGACTCAGTTTCCCCATCAGTAAGACAAGGGGGCTGGACCTTTCGGCTCCAATGCTGCATTCCTGGCACATAGCGATACACATTCAGCAACCATGATCAAAGGGGCACAGCTGCTAAAAGTCCTGCCTCTGTCCCCTGCAGGCCGTGCAACAGTGGGCAAGCTCCTCAACAGCTCCTGTCTTGGCTTCCTTTCTTCATCTGTCAGACAGAGATCACAATACAGAATGACAGGGGCCAGAATAGATAGTAAGACCAAAGTACAGGGCTGTGAGGATGATGAGGTGGATAGTACATGGGTAGTTCTTGGAACAATGCCCAGCATTACAGTAAGCACTTGGTACATCTTAGCTAGATTCTTATCAAATCCTATCCAGAACACAGAGAACACTTATTGCCCAAAACACTTACGTACCCAACTTGACAAATGCAGAAGTCAGGCCGAAAAGGAGAAATTCGAAAGAATCGGGCATGAGAGAGAAGCAGACAAGCACACTACCTTCCCCTGCAGGTGTGCAGATGGGGGGCTTTGGAGACCAGCACCCCTGGGCTGGAATACGCATGGCTCAGTTCCCTGGCTTCCATGGTAGGAGCCCCCCACAAGTGCCAGGGGAAAGTTACTTCACCTCCTTGACCCCCAGTCTCCTCATCTGGCAAGCTACCAAGGCCAGACCTCGGCATACAGGAAGGAAGAAAGAGAAGCATTACTTTTTTTATTTGGAGGGGTCCAGAAATAACAGCTTTACACACTCACCCCTGCCGAAAGCAGAGGTAACTGCCTGCGTATTTTGCAGAATGTAACTCCGTGCATTTAACTGCAATGTCACAGATTTTGATTATGAATACCAAAAGCCATTTCTGAGCCAAGGATGATGAAGGGGAGCAGAGGTGGGACAAAAGCAGCTGTGACAGCCATGGTCTGAAAGAGATGTCAGTCAAAGTAACTCTTTCGAGTCAGCTGTGTGTCACTGACCCATCTGCTCATTTAGCAAACATGCATCAACACTTTCATGTTGAAGATGTGGTACCGCATGTTGGCAGGGGCTCGGTGGTGGGGAGCCTGGAGGAGTAAGATGTAATCACAGCCCACTGGAGCTTACCCTCTAGTAGATGCAATAAATGTCTTTAAAATATCGACTAGGAAGAGAGGCAGTGCAGGAGAATGGTTATGGAATTCAAGGTCCGAGGAAAATGCATTGCAAGTCTAGCTTTACCAGTTGCTGATATGCAGTAACTTGGACAAATTACTTACTCTGACCCTCAGTATCCTCATCAGTGAAAGGGAGGCAAGACTACCCTTCTTAGAGGGTGTATGTGAGGATCAGATTTCAATGCCTATAATATGCATAATGCCCATAATTAGTATTCATATATGGCTGTCGCTATTGTTTTTCTTGTATTCATTTTTATGAGTGGAATTTCCTGGGACGATGAATATTGGTCACAGACACTAAGCGCGTATGTTGTGCAGAACTAAAGGGGTAGTTAAAATATTAGGCCGACTCATGATCTTAACACAAAAAGTGCTCTTCGAGGCCAGTACATAAATAAACGGTATCTGATTATAAGTCTATGGTCTTATAACAGCCTCGCAGCCATGGTGCTAAAAGGACTCGCTTGTGTGCCTTGGGGATAGCAAAGGATGCGATGCAGTGAAGCATTAATATTTGCCACAGCATATGCACTAGTTCAGACCTATGGATTAAAAGCCAGGGTTCACTCCCTGAAATACGGAGACTGTTAAAAAGGAGGTATAATTGCTTCTGAGTACACTCCAGCCAAGTGCTAACGAAGCATTTTCTTCCACGCTGGGATCTGTCTGAGGCTGTTCTGAAAAATGAGGAAGTGCCCACTTCCTTAGAACACAGATTCCTTTGTGCATGGAGCTGCTTCCGAAAGCATATTCAAGAGTGTTGGCTGTCGTATGGAAGGTGAACATTCTGTTGGAAAGTTGGACCACAGTGTTACAACCGCTTTTTTTTTTTTTTACTGTTAGGTGAAAAAAAAAAGCAAGAAATACAGAAACACATGTCAATGCATCGTGCAATGACAACTTTGTTTAAAATATGTTGAACAAGAGAAGATAGGAGGGGAATATAATGAATGCAATGTGGGGCTTGTTAAGTTGGTGGAATTATGCACCACCGTGTCTTTCTTGTGCCCATTTATTCATTCACAAATACACACCAAGCTCAATACCCTGGACACAAAGACAAACCCAAACAGACAGACATAGTCGCTGCCCTCATGGGGTGGTGAGGGAGCGGTGGGGAGGCTACAATACAAGGCAGAGACCTTAAACAAAATGCCAAACCTTATCGCGGTACCTTATCGAGGTTTAGCATGCTTCTATGTCATATAATACAGAGTGGGCACGGTCTGGCTGGCATTTGAGAACAAGATGAGAAAGGTATTTTATGCATCTTTGTGGCCTCGTTGTCTGATGTAATACCTGGCGTGGGGTAGGCACTCAGGAATTTTATCTGAATGATTAAAAGAAGGAAGGAAGGGAGGGAGGGAGGGAGGGAGGGAGGGAGAGAGGAAGGGCCAATTGGCCACCTCTTTTGAATCCCAACAGTTTTATAGGAACTGGACCTTGCTCTGAATTTCAGCACCACCTGCCTGGTTGGGGGAAGGTGTGCTCAGGATACTCATGCCTCCCTTCCCTTCTATTTCCCAGCTGGCTGTTTGAAGGGCTGGGCAGGGACAAGGCAGAGGAGCTGCTCCAGCTGCCAGACACGAAGATGGGCTCCTTCATGATCCGAGAGAGTGAGACGAAGAAAGGTGAGTGGCCTCCGACTCCCCTTTCCATGCCGGGGCTGAGAGCAGCAGGTTTTGTTCTGGACTGATTCATGACACGGCTCATTTTGCCTCCTCCCACAACACATGCAAACCCATCCGATCTGGTGAGCTCCCTGCAGCCCACACACCCCCGGAGAGGCCAGAGTGAAAGCTAGGGGCCCAGAGCCAGGGAGCGGGGGACCTGGCAGGGTGAGGCCACGGCCGGACTCAATGAGCCCCGCAGGCTCCCGCTGCGAAATGTCCCATCAACTGGGAAGCAAAACAAAGAGCAGGTGTAGGCAGCACTGGGCCCGAGTGAGCAGGCTTGGGACTAGGCCCGGCCCACGCTCACTAGCTCTGTGCCTTGGGCGGGTCCTTTACTTCTCCGAGGGCAGTATGTTCATCTGGGGTGCCATATGCAATCATGACTACGTTTATAGTGCTCTTGCTACACAGGAGACCTTCAGCACTGATTTCCACTGTGCCCTACGATGAATTCAGGCATCTTAGAGAATCAGGACAGGCAGATGTATGCCCTTACTTACGCACTATGATCATTATCGTTACAACTTCCTTACGTCTTACACATTAAGTAATTCAGTGAAAACAAAATAGCTGGACTCTTTGTCATGGTTCAGAACAAGGGCTCTGAATTCCAGTTTTGGCTGTATGCATTACTGACAGGCACCTGTCTCACTAAGCCTGGGTACCCTTTCCTCGAACAGGGGATTGACACTAGGAAGGTACTTAGCACAGTTTCTGGGGTGTGGCAAGCACTTTAACTCACAGGAGCAAGACCCTTCCCAGTTAGGGCTTTCCCAGACTAACTAAGAATAACACCATTTTAAAAACAAAAGATACATTCAGGTTCTTAGCCTGCTTCTTATATCCTCAATATCAGAGAAGAGGAAATGCAATATCTGAGAGTATTTCCCACATACCTACTAAGGGCCAGTACATTTTGGAGCTCGAGCCCTTCACCAAAATTAGCATCAGCCTTACTGTGGAGAAGCAGGGACCATCTACCTATGGTTAGAAAATTCAAGACAACTTTTCTCTCAAAAACTCTAATGTGCTAGGGGAAAACAAGATCAAAGCAAAGACCACATTTCCTGTGCATGCCCTGGCAGTCCCCAGAGGTGGGAGACCCAGACTCAGATAGGACTTCTAAGCTGGCATGGCCAAGTGAGGGAGGAACCCAGCTTGAGGTTCCAGAGCTGATCTAAAAATAAAGACGCTTTCAGGCAGATCTGCAGCCGAGCTGGGCCGGGGCTGGGCTGGGGGTGGGCGGGTGGCAGGCTCTGCTCCCTTGGGTATGCAAAGTTCTGATAATTTTCCACCTGCCACCTTTGACCTGCTCCTCACCATACTTCCAGTTCCTGTTAATGTTATAGGAAGATGCATGTTGGGCTTCAGAGGGCAGGCCTGGGGCAAAGGTAGGAATGCCCATCAGGACAAGGGTCAGACCCCAGATCTGCCATTTCCAAGCTGCGTGCCTCTGGCCATAGCACTCAGGGGCTCGGAGCTTCGTTTCTGCATCTGTAACATACTTGGGGACAGCACTTGGAAACAGCTTAGCCCATGAGCAGCCCGGAGAGGCAGCAGAGACTCAGTAAATGCTCATGCCCTTCACTCACTGTCTCGTGAGTGTTTGCACTCCTGGGACCCAAAGGACAGAGCAGAAGGCACCTAGGTCCAAGTCTCCCACTTTCCACTTGGGAAAATCGAGGCTAGGAGAGGGGAAGGTACTTGCCCCAACTTCTGCCCTTCCTAACCCCTACTGCATCACTACCTTCATGGTGCTTAAGGAGAAATGGCATGTTGGACATGTTTCTTAGGGATACCCAGAAAAAGTCTTAGCTGCTCCTTTTTCCAAATTTCTGAGAAAACCAAGCATAAGGCATAACCAAGAGGGAGCAGGGACCAGAAAGTGGTATGATGTGGTGGCTTTCCAGAAGAGGATGTGGAAGCACCTGGAATGGTAGGCTCACAGAGCAAAGACTAAGCAGGTGCACCTAAAAATCTGTGTGGCTAATGTGGTGGGGCCGCTAAAGGAGCGCGCTCCTGGGGTGTCTGCAGAGTGAGTGCAGTCCCTGAAGACGGGGTGCTAGCAGCTGCTCCTCCAAACGCAGGAGTGCACATCTGCGTTTGGGTATTCTCCTTGCATCCCAAGGCTGAGGGATTCTCTCCATCGCCGCCCTCGGCGGGGACCACGTGGGACGCCTCTGACCCGGCCCCCGTTTCCCACAGGTTTTTATTCTCTCTCGGTGAGACACAGGCAGGTGAAGCATTACCGCATCTTTCGCCTGCCGAACAACTGGTATTACATCTCCCCGAGGCTCACCTTCCAGTGCCTGGAGGACCTGGTGAATCACTATTCCGGTAAGAAGCACCCCATGGGGACAGATCAATGAAGCCCCTCTTGGTTAACTGCCCCGTGGTGCCTGTGTCTAGGACAGGCACGGGTCCCTGATTCATGCCAGGTGACTGACTTGGCTCTCACCCTGCTCCCTTAATCTGCTCTTTTCTTGTTAATGCAGACTGTAGGTTTCAAGTTAAAACAGGCTGCCTGCGAAGGCTGCGCAAGTAGGTAAAATGCAGCTAATCTCGACCTCACCCTCACCCTCTTTCCACATGCAGATGGAAAGAAATAGAATACCTCAATATTTGCAATGGCAAACTATTGGCATTTCCTCGTGGACCCCTGAGGTTTTGTTTGGAAATGCCACTCGTGTCCCTTCCTGCCTGGCAAAATCCTCCTCAGCCTTCAAGGCAACAGGAAGCCACCTTCTTGATATGTGCTAGGAGTCAGGATCAACTGCCTGTCTTCTCAGCTCCCATAAGTGCCGGCCTTTCCCTCGAATGGGGTCCCTCTGCCTCATGACCGAGTGAACTGTGTCCTAGTCTGGCTTTTCTGGCAAGCTCTAAAGACCGGGGCTGCACTTTGTTCCTGGAGATGCTTCTCCAGGCCCAGGAGGGAGGTCCCAGGTTCCACACCGCCAGGATGGGGAGTGCCCTCCAAGACGGCAGCAGCAGAGAGGGTTTTGATGGAGGTGACAGGGAAGAGTAGAGTCAAAAGAGGAGATCAGAGTTAGACTGTGCAGGCCTGAATGCCAGGTCAGGAGGTGACATTTTACCCATGGGATAAGGCGGAAATAGTAAAAAGTTGGCTCTGGAACCTCTGCGTTCACATCCCAGATCTTCTGGGCAACCCCGGGCTTGTTGTTCGCCTTTGTGCCTTGGGGTGTTGTGAGGAATCCTCGGGATGGTGGAGGGAAAGCGCTGAGGGGAGGGCCTGACACGTAAAGGTGGGCTCCTGCTCACATTGGCCGCTGTCCCCAAGACCACGACTCCTCCTTCCTCCTCCCTTCCCCTGCCTGTTAGAGGGAGGAAGAAGTTGCTCTCATGTTGTATGTGTCTTCCCACTTCCGGTTCCAGACCTCACACCCCTGGGTATCTTTGCTAGCATTCTACAGGGTGTGGGGTTTTGAAGGCCGTTTCAAGGTGAAAGGAGCCCACAGGGCTTGGGTTATCACACCTGCCCAGTGAGAAGAAGGGCAGGGCATAGAGGTGGAATGGTCTCTTGGGAGACACAGGCCCAAGCTCAGAGCCAGGCTCTGGGAGACATTGGGAAGAGACCTCCATCTCTCAGCTGCAGCACCCCGTTCATGCAAGGTGGATGCGAACAGCCCCCTGGCAGGTGGTGGCAATGACTGGCTTGTTCATGTAACGTGTACCCTAATGTAGTGTAATTACGGAATGGGGCAAATGCAAAATAAGTGATACCAAATGTTACTTCTTTGATGCCTGGAAACCTAGCAGCTTAGCTAAAAATGAAAGAGGAAGGGAGTCCTGGAGATAGTCGACTTTTACTGATTATGAGTAAAGGTTGGTTGTGGTATTTGGCTTTTAATAACAATCATCAGAGGGGTGGGGAGACCATAAGTTTTGCATAGACAAAAGCAAACATGAAAAGGATGCTGTTCCAGCAAAGATTGTACAGACTGGGAGACCCACGAGGCGTCCAGGCCAAGAGCACCCAAGCGGCTTGCCCCAATGCAAGAGCATCGCCTTCCAGAAATATGTCCCCGGACACTGTGTCAGGGGCTTCCTGTGCCCCTGGGGACCCCCCAAATGGAAACAAGGTGGCCAGTTTTACCTCCCTCCAGATTCTACCCAGAGACACAAAATCAGAAAAATTTTGTGCTAAGGGCTCTGAACAGACATCTTAGTGTTCCAGGTGGCTTATATTTATTACCTGGTGCCTTGGGAAAATTCATTAACATCTTGGAGCCTCAGTTTCTTCATCTCTAAAATGGGGACTTCAGTCCCCATGCCTCTTATGAGACTATTGTTAGGACCAAACACAAAACCATGAGTGTAAAGGTCTGGCCCCTAAAGATCCCATGCATGGTGGTGACTGAGAGGACAGAGGAGGTGGGGCACAAGTCCCCAAATATGGCCAGGAAAGCAAAGGGCTGAAAAGGGGGACCCCTGAATGTAGAGTGTTTGGGAGCCCAGGTGTGTGAGAGGAATAAGCGTTCTGGAAAATTCTACAGAGTGGGGAAACTGAGGGGAGTGTGTCCAGACCTCAGAGGCAGATAGGACCTCTCTCTCCCCCATTTTGGAGGTAATGGATTGCCTTCGGAACAAGTATCTGGTTCCGAGTCGATGAGGCAGGTTCGGATCACATCTCTGTGACCTTGAGCAAGTGACCTGAGCCCAGGGATCCTCCTCCAAGTGGGCGTAAAAATACTGCCGCTCAGAGCTGTGGGGGCCACGCTGAGATGAAGCGTGGGGGTTAGCTGAGCACTGCGCTCAGGTGGGGTGCTGGAGGTGTTGGTCCTTTTACTCTTTGTGGGGATTCTGGCTCGCCCTCAGGGTTAACCTCTCACAAACCCCCTCCGCCCCGTGCTGTCTCCTGGCATTGGTGGCTTCAGTCTGCGTCCAGCTCCGTCTCCCTCACCTCTTAACCTGGGAGGTCGTTTCAATTTCCAGCCCAGGAGAGATGCACATCCAGTTAAGCTCCCCCTAATCTCAGGGTCCAATCTCGCATTTTTCGACCAGTGTGGGTGGACATTTGAGTTCACGGTGAAAGTCAGACGGAACACCAAGAAACAAGGCATTATTGGCTGCCACACTCTGCTAGCCTGGGTTTGCTTCTTCAGCTACAACCTCCTTTTGTTCCTTGGCAAGAGCACCCAGAGCTCCCTAAATAAGTTGGGAGGCGGAGACGGCCAGAAGTAAATGTGCTCCCTTAAACCTGGCCAGGGGGCTCTGTCCTGCTGCAAGCCAGCAATGTCTCATGTCCTCAGCCACTCCGTGCCCCCTGCCCTGGGGTCTACAACCTGAACAAAGCCACACTGGATTTTCTCTGTCTCTAAGAACGTTTGAGGGGCGCCTAGGAGGCTCAGTCAGTTGGGTGTCTGCCTTCAGCTCAGGTCATGGATCCGGGAGTTCCAGGATCTAGCCCTGCATTGGGCTCCCTGCTCAGCAGGGGGTCTGCTTCTCACTCTGACCCTCCCTTGCCTCATGCTCTCTGGTTGTCACTCTCTGTCTCTCAAATAAATACTTAAAATCTTTAAAAAAAAAAAAAAAAAGTCTGAGCACAGCCAGAACCAAAGCTTTCCCACAGCCATGGGAGGTGGAGGCTAGAACCTGATGATCCTGGGGAGATGAGCGACCCTGGGAGGGATGTTAGGGGAAAGGGAAGCAATGGATTATTTAATTTTCATTCTCTTTGTGCATGAGCATCCAGGCTAGAGAAGAGAGATACTTCTTCATTTTTTCCTTTGTCCACTTTCTCTTGCTTGCCTTTATCTTTGTCTAAGTCTTCCTCCTTCTTTTCTGGTGTCTTTTCTTTTTTTGTTCTGTGTTTACTCCCTCCCCCTCCCTCCCTCCCACCTTTCTTTATTCCTGCCCTCCTGCTCGCTCCCTCTTCCTTCCTGTTTTCTTTCTGGGCGTGTTCTATTCTCCTGTCTTCCTGCACATGCATGAGCCACCTGTGCACGAGGAAGCGCTGTTCCTCGGACTTGGACCCCACCTTGCACATGGCACACGTGATGGAGCCATGCTCGAGAGTGAAACCCTAGAGGCCGGGCCTCCTGTCAGCTGTTCTCACTTGTTAGCCTGTCCTCTCAGTGTGTGGTCCAGGAAACTGAGTCTCGGAGAGGGTCAAAGGGATTCACAATCAGGAGCGTAGTTGAAATCCAAATCCAAGTGTAGTTGATCCTGGAGCCAATGTTTTTTTTTGTTTGTTTGTTTGTTTTAACCGTTATGTAGTCAGTTTTATCTTTTTATTTTCTAATCACACTTTCTGGTTTAAATTTCATTTTCTAAAGGCTCCATGACAACATGAGATTATACAAAGATGGTAAAAGATTCAAGAAAGTCAGTCAACATTCCTAGCTGCTACGGCCTCACTTCCCATTTAATCCTTAACCTATGCTAATTCAGATGTCCTTCTCTTCATTTCCTGGCTGAGCAGCCACCTCTTTACCTTCCACAACTAGAGGCTAGTTTCTAGAAGGTGTCTTCCCATTGGCCCTTCCCGGAACTTCCATCTCTTGTTTTTTTTTTTTTAACTTTTTTATTGTTATGTTAATCACCATACAGTACATCATTAGTTTTTGATGTAGTGTTCCATGATTCATTGTTTGTGCATAACACCCAGTGTTCCATGCAGAACGTGCCCTCTTTAATACCCATCACCAGGCTAACCCGTCCTCCCACCCCCCTCCCCTCTAGAACCCTCAGTTTGTTTTTCAGAGTCCATTGTCTCTCATGGTTCGTCTCCCCCTCCTATTTCCCCCCCTTCATTCTTCCCTTCCTGTTGTCTTCTTCTTTTTTTCTTAACATATATTGCATTATTTGTTTCAGAGGTACAGATCTGTGATTCAACAGTCTTGCACAATTCACAGCGCTCACCATAGCACATACCCTCCCCAGTGTCTATCACCCAGTCACCGCATCCCTCCCATGCCACCCCCCACTCCAGCAACCCTCAGTTTGTTTCCTGAGATTAAGAATTCCTGGAGCAAATCTTACTGCTTCATGTGCTCCTCCTCTGAGCTAAGCACAGTCCATATTCAGGGCACATTAACATTTCTTAAGCAACTGGATACCTGACTCTCCACCCTGCCATGCCTCTTTCCTATCTTGGCCTCAGTTTCCCCATGTGAACAACCAGGGGGCTGTACTGGATGGTCCCTCAGGCCCTGCACCCCACGCTGGCTGGGGCATCCCAGGGTCACTGACCAGTTGTCTGCTTCCCTCCTTAGAGGTGGCTGATGGCCTCTGCTGTGTGCTGACCACACCCTGCCTCACTCAGAGCACGGCCACCCCGGCCGTGAGGGCCCCTGACTCGCCTGTCACCTTGCGCCAGAAGAACTTCGACTGGAAGAGGGTGCCCAGGTGGGGTGTGTGTGTGTGTGTGTGTGTGTCCTGCATGAATGTATGACCACCCCCAAACCTGTGTGAGAGCCTGACAGCTGAAAATACAGCAGGCTACAGCCCTCGCTGTGGAGAGCTGAGCGGGACACTGCAACCCAAAGAATCCCACTGTCCCCTGGGAGACCCTAACCCAGCTTCAGGCCTCACTGCCATTGCATTTCGTAGGATATCTGTAGTTGGGAATAGTGAGTTATCTTAACCAAACACTGATCCTAACATTCCACTGGCAAATTCAAAGAAAATCAGAGATCAGAATTGCCTGGGAGATGAAGAAAATCTACTCTTCCTTGTAAAAGTCATAAAGAAATATTCATTCAAATTTGCAGTTGGAAGTTATAGCCATTCGAGTTAATGGTGGTTCCGAGAGGTTAAGTGATTTCTCCAAGGTCACATGGCAACAAATATAAGAAGCAGAATTAGAACAATAAGTTAGAGAAATATTAACCTGGCTTTTTTTTCTTCTTTTTTTCCTTCTCCCATCTTCTTGTTCTCCCTCTCTCTATGTCCGTCTCTTCTTTCCCTTCCTCTGTCCCCATTCTTCGCACTCACAGACTGCAAGAGGACCCTGAGGGAGCCAGGAACCCACTTGGTGTAGATGAGTCCCTTTTCAGCTATGGCCTTCGAGAAAGCATCGCTTCCTACCTGTCCCTGACCAGCGATGACAACACCTCCTTCGATCGCAAGAAGAAAAGCATGTCCTTGATATACAGTGGGAGCAAGAGGAAGAGCTCCTTCTTCTCATCGCCACCATATTTTGAAGACTAGCCTAGAACAGACACCATTGTGTGTACCCAAGATAACAGAGGTTGGGACTGTCACCTGGGATCTGGCAGGGAGGCATGGTTCCCTGGCCCCTAGGGAGCCGCACATCTTCCAGAAGCCGAGAAAAGGCCCATGAAGACTCAAACTCACCTCTCCTCTGTCCACATCATGACAAAGGGAACCCCTCCCTGGTGTCTGATCAGTACTGAGACATCACGAAATGTTGAATCACGATGTGATCGGGGAACATTTCAGAAGAGCCCCATGTATGTGTGTGTGCTCGTTGTGTTTGTGGGAAAGATAAAGACATTATCTCACAAGAAAGTGCACAGGACTGTTCAACGAACTGTCCAGATGGTCACACTCTGAGCTCATTGGAGATAACTCTGGAGCGAGAAAAGCCTGGGAAGAAGATGAGCCACAAGCTGCGGTCTGGCCAGTCCAGGTTTGCAAATGGGTCCCCCGCCACGAGCTTTTCTAACCAACCCAGAAAGAGACCTTTGGTATGCAGCTCCTCTCTTTTTAAGGGAACTCAGTGACACTAAATGTTAATCTTCCTTATCATCCCTGAATCAGGAGATCCCAGTGGCCTGCTGGTGCCAGGAATCAGACAGCCTCCCTGTCTCTGTAGAGGGCGAGGCAAAGGGGAGAGAGGGAGGCTGCTTGTGGGAAAATGGGAGGGTCGCCTTGGAGCTGTGCAAGCTTTCCTGGTCTCCCCAGCCGTGGCTTTGCGGCACAGAAAGAGCTTCTCTGACAGGCTGGGACTCTTGCCAACAAAAATGCATCAGTTGTTTACTCATGGTTGCCTGAAGAGCTAACTGTGTTAAGTCCCATGTCAGGTTGAAAGAAAGAAAGAAAGGGAATAAAAGAAAAAAGGATCAGCAGAGGCACCCACAGTATAGACAGGGAGAAAAATCTACAGACAAATATCGTGAGAGTGGGTTGTAGAAGGAAAAATCAGCTCATGGCTCCGGGGGGACTGGGGCAGGCAATGGTGGCCCATGAGCTCATGTCTCAGGGCACCTTCGCAGAGGGTAAGTGCAGCTGGATTGAGTAGGCGAGAATGGTTGGCCTTTTTGGAAACGGCAAATTGACTAAATGCTAAAGAATTAATTCTAATTCTAAAGGATTAATTCATTTATGTGATTTTTCTGTATCATCAGTATTTTATTCTAAGAAGGGCCTGGCAGCCACATGAAGAAAACTGCTGAGCTCCAGGAAAGAGGGGAGGCAGAGTGGCTTTAATTCTGTCCTACTAATTTTAAGAGATGAGAGAGAAAGCACAGCAAAGTTCTAGAAAAGGAGAAGTATTTATCTTGAGACCGCCCATCCGGATCTTGTTAGGAAGGGGGCTGCAGATGCACCCATGACTCATTTTCCCCTGTTGCAAAGGGATTCGGCGGGGAGGGGTACCCGTGGAACCCTTCGCTGCCTGATACGAAATGTCTGTCTGTTCACCACACGCATTCCGTAGATCTGAGATCACTGTGCTGGTGTTACGTGTATATGCATTTACGTGATTTTCTGTATCATCAGACTCTTGTGTGTTTATACAAGAAGACATTTACGGTTTCCCCCAAGAACCCCTAAAGGCCATTTCAAGGGGCCAGCCGATGTGTGGGAAATGAATATAACACTGTGGACGCTGACTTCCACCACAAGGGAGGGTGACCTCGCAAAAGCCAGATGTTTGTACGGTGTCTTATGCATTGTTTTCCGTTGTAACTAGTATGCTGGGAACTTTCGGGGAGCACTCAGAGGCATTTCTAACTGGGAAGCATTACACTTTGCTAAATCATGTATTTATTTCTGATTAAAATATACCTAATAAATATTTAACCCTTGGCATGTGGGGAGACCTTTCTGGGCGAGGTGGGTGGGTGGCTCATTCGGAAGCATCTTTGGGTCTTGAATTTTCAGACAAACTTGCCCCTGGAGAGAGGTGAGAGCAAGGAACACCAAGAAGAACCGCACTGGTTAGCAGCTCAGCTTTTTCTTGAAGTGCAGCCTTAAGAAAACTGGATTTTGTGAATTTGGAGGGTGTCTTATCAAACTTGAAGGTGGACACGGGGGGTCAGGGGAGAGAACAACTTCTTAGCAATTGCTATGAGCATTCTGCCTCACCTAGGTAACTTCTGCGGATCACTTGTGATACCCCGGCTTTCTGTTTTTCCAAGAATTTATTTCTACACATATTTTTCTGGACACCTACTAAATGCCAGACGTGGCTCCAGACACTAGGGCTATAGCAGTGAAAACCAGATGAGGTCTCTGATATCACGGAGCTTGAGATCATAAATAAACAAGAAACTTTGTCACGGCAGGGAAGGTAGTGCAGAAAGTAACCTGGGCTGCTGGACCTGAGCGTGACGGGGTGAGGACTCATTTACCTAGATGCCTGCTTAGGAAAGGCCTCCCTGCCAGTAGATGCGTTTGAGCTCCCATATGAGCTGAGGCCTGAAAGATGAACAGCAAACAGCCAGGCAAATATCTAAAGGAAAACCGAAGGCAGTAGAGTTAATTGAGGTGATTCCTGTGGACAGGAGCAAGGCTGCCTGTGGAAGAAACTGGAAGAAGTGCTAGAGTGGCTGGGCTGAGTGAGCTAGAGTGAGGGGCGGAGGGAGGGCTGCCAGGAGGGAGGCAGGTCCTGCAGGGTTCTGGATGGAAGCGTCAGAAGCTTAAGGTGAATTCTAGGAGAAAGGCAGAGCCTTGGAAGGATCTAATTAGGGGAAGGTTATCATTTCATCCACGTGTTTTAAAGAACATACCGGTTGCTGCGAAGAGAATAGATTTTTAAAATTCTGGTGTTGTATTATCTACTTGACACGTAGTGATAACTTGTAAGCTCTAAGACAAAAGAATGCAGGATTTCAAAATAAAGGGTTGGAAAATTTTTCACGCAAAAATGAACAAAGGGCAAGTGTTGAATTTTGAGGCAAAATGAAATTGAAGGCAAAAATAAATTGTATGGTGACTAACATAACATAATAAAATAAAATTAAATTAAAAAACATAGTTTAAGGGCCAAGAGAGATGTTACAAAAGATGAGGCATTAAGAAGATAGGAGTGAGCAAACCTGTGTTAATCTAACAATACAGTTTCAAAATATATTAAGCAGCCACTACAGGGACAAATAGATAAATGGATCATTTTATTTGGTGATTTAAACACACAACTCTCAGAAATGGAGAGATCAAGCAAAGATAAGTAGATAGGCAGATAGAGGATCTTGATAACACTGTACAACTTTTCTGCCAACCAGTGAAGAATTCATTAGGTCTAATAAATTTCAGAGTCAGCCTTCTCCAACTCAGGCTCCATGATAATAATGAAATAAAATTAGAAATCAATTTGCAAAAGGATGGGTTAAAATCCTATGCATCTAAAAGCTTAGAAAAAAGGGATGCATCTCCTGTGGTTAAGAAGAACATAATACAAGAAATAATCAAAGACATACAAATACAGGACGTGTTGCTACTTCTCCAAATGTCCAGGGTGGAGCTGATACAACAGTAAGAGGGACATTTATTGCTTGAAACCCATTGACCAGAAAACAAAGAATGACAAGTAATGAGCTCAGATTTCAACTCAAGAAGCTCACAGAACAACTGATTGTCAAAGAAGCGAGGAGAAAGCAAAAGATGACAAAGGTAAACATGGATGAAATAAGAGCTTTATAGTCATAAAGAAGACTCAGAAAGCAAGACATTGTTTAAATAGTAAGATTGATATGATGAAGAAAAGCAGGAGCAAGAATGACCATGTCAAAGGAAAAGAAAGGCCGATGAGCTGCAGGGCTGCATATAAGGAGAGGACCTCTGCGGGGGAGGGTACCCTTGCCTCCCTCAGTCAGCAGGGCTGGCCCCTCTCCCTCTATCCCCTTCCTGCTGTCCAAGCTGCCCAGACTCCACCCTGCAGATGGGAACAAGGCCCTCAGATGGCAGAGAAACACCTAGAAAGAACCCATACCCCCAGAGATCATGAGACACTTTGGGAAATATTATGATAAAGAAAGAAAAAGAGAGAGAGAGAAAGAAACATATTTATTATTTAAGCTCCTTAAGTGCTGGATCTTTGCTAGAGCAGCTGAGCATTTTTGTCCAAAGGGTATAGAAATCAACCTGCCAAAATTTACAGATAATGAAATAATGTCAGAAAATCCAGTGGATTTTATATAGATGAGAGTATTGGAATCCATGAACAGTTCAGTCAATTTTGATTAAGAGAAACGGAGAAGAAAGTGCTCGAACTATGAGGTTTGTGCAAAAACAGGAGAAAACAGTGCTCAGGCCCCTCCCCTAGTGTTATGGAACTCAGCACGGGCTTTGGTGCCCTATTCCACCCAGGGCTGTGCGAAGCATTAAGGAAATTCTAAGACGAAAAGCTCACGGGCCCTGTCAAGCTTTCAGTCATAACAGAATTGGAGTAAGACGCGCTAGAAAAATACCCAGTGTGTAAGACAAGGCAAGATTCCTAAAAAATTGCCAAAGAGAAGTCTCTTCACCAACGTGAGAATTGTTCTGTTTTAAGAGATGGAGAGAGGCTTAGAGGGCACCATTTCAGCTGAGCCCTGAAGAAGGGAGTGACTTTCCAGATGGAGAAGTGGACGTGCCGACCACAGCATGGCAATGGAAAGATGTGGAAGAAGGCATGGCATTTTCTAGGAATGTTGATACTAGTGAGCCTGGAGTGCAGGGTTCCTGCAGGAATGGAGCAGGAAAGGAGACAGGAATATGTAGCTTGAGGCCAATTCACGAGGCCTGGCACTCCCTCAGGGAAATGGTGTAGGAGGGCAATGGAAATCTCTTCTGGGGCCTGCGAATCATACCGCAGACATGACCTCCTCTGTCTCCTCTCAAAACTGGCCAGGTCATCAGAGCCACAGAGTGCATGCTCGCGACATGTCACCCCCTCTTCCTTCTTCAACCCAGGCCCCGGAGGCAGGCGCAAATTCCCCTGACCTGCTTTGGTTTGGAACTGCCCTCGCTTAGCAAGGCAAGGGGAACCTGGACTTCTTGGGTTCCTACAGTGCGCGGGGCACTCTACAAGCCTAATATGATGGCAACTTCTTGAGCCCTTGGGAGACAGAATTGATCATACTGCTTTTATCCATGAAGATTCCAAGAGTGAAGGGTTTTGCCCAAGGCTGGGATCTTAAGGCCCTGGGAGGGTCCCAGGCTTCTCTGGAGAAACAACTTCATAGGGTGGGGGAAACACGGGATATGGCTTTAGGCTCTAGTCCCTAATGCGGCTCCTTCTGTGCTATGTGTTCCTTAGCAAGTCACTAGACCTCTCTGAGCCTCAGACTTCCTATCTCCAGATTGCAAATAATATGAAGATCCTGTGCCAATCAGTGTGAGCAGTCTATGAGATCATATATCGG